AAAGGAAGAGAACTACATATATAGTGTTTATGATATGCCTATAATCTCTATAGTGTGAAGAATTTGTTGTACATACGTTTAACTTGTTCTGAAAATATATATGCTGTTCATTTATTGTTGAATTTATCGCTAACAAGTCACAGACACCTACTGTACAAGAATCCTAAGCTCAACAACAACATAGTATATATTTATACTATTAATAAATATAAGTAAAAGCCTTTTACTTTGACAATTGGTAACCATTCTATAACTATAAATTCTGACAGGCAACTTATTTATCCTAAATTGACCTCCTTTTATATTGCATTTAAAGACTCTTTATTACCATTGATTGGAACAACATTTTGTCTGGTAAGTTTGTTTTACTAAAGCAGAGCAGCATTGGCTATCTGCTATGTCCACTATAGGGAATCAAACCCTGGACTTCACTGCTGTAAGTCCATAAACTTACCACTGTCCCACAGAGGGACTGAAAAGTCAATAGACTAAAAGAAGGTGCAGGAAAAAGCGAATCTAGATTCTCTCCAGAATGTTGAAGATCATCCTCAATTAGATCCTCAGAGCCCCCTGGAGGAACTCCGCCAAACTAAATATGTCTCCATCTTACTATGAATAAGATCATTGATATACTCAAACGAGATTGACCCCCCTCCCAGTTGTTGTGCTACATTTTAGAAGTGGGATAGGAGAGAATTCATGGTGTATATTGGCTTGCCAATCACCTTTTTTTTTTATATGAAAATCAACTACATAACATGAAGAATACTCAAAGTATCTCCAAACGATCGTAGCACTGGGAAACCAATTAATGATACTTTGTTCAGAAATGGTGATAACCTTATCTGAATGAGGTGTTTATATACAGTAACAGGATAGAGGGTGCATTGACGTAGGTGGAGAGTGTTACGAGACAAATATCACCAAGGGCAATTAAGTGGGGTATAGAAGACTGGAGAAAGGAAGAAAAATCAGACCAATGCTTAGATGGGCAAAGGAAAAAACCCTGGCAGTTAAGTAACAGCTGTAGTGTGAGAGGAGGTATGTACGTTTTGGATGGAGGATCAACAACACTACTCTTATCCTTGTTATCTTGGTTAATATTAATCTTTCCTAGGTATATTAGAAACTCTGAAACACTAATCAACCAAACCACTCGAAAAAAAACTACAATTCTTTCTCAGATATCCTGAACATGCTACACATTACACTGATAATTTTCTGTCAAATGAGTAGGGAAAACCAATAAGTTTACTGAGAGGTAACAAAACTATTAATTATCACACGAAGGAGATGGGGTATGATACATATATTAAACAAAATTCATTCAAATATCACAACCTTCACATAAACATCACAATTTCCATCCAAGTGCTGGATGCTACAGATGATGTCTACATCTGAGCTTCTTGCTATCATGCCAAGTTTTTCTTCTTTTATCAGTCCTATTAAAAGAATAAAAGAATGTTAGTTTTCAACAGAAAAGCTCTTAGGTATTGTTACAATTTCCAGAATGAAGTGCAGATGGTATAAACTTAAAATTTTGGTTATAATCATAATCACTTACTTCTAATAAACATTATAATAACCACTAACTTGTAATCAACATTATAATATCCACTTACTTCTAATAAACATTATAATAACCACTAACTTCTAATAAACATTATAATAACCACTAACTTGTAATAAACATTATAATATCCACTTACTTCTAATAAACATTATAATATCCACTAACTTGTAATAAACATTATAATATCCACTTACTTGTAATAAACATTATAATATCCACTTACTTCTAATAAGCATTATAATATCCACTTACTTCTAATAAACATTATAATATCCACTAACTTGTAATAAACATTATAATATCCATTAACTTCTAATAAACATTATAATATCCACTAACTTCTAATAAACATTATAATATCCATTAACTTGTAATAAACATTATAATATCCACTTGTAATAAACATTATAATATCCACTTACTTGTAATAAACATTATAATATCCACTAACTTGTAATAAACATTATAATATCCACTTGTAATAAACATTATAATATCCACTTACTTCTAATAAACATTATA